CACTTCACACTGCACCCTTCACGCCCCACACTTCACACTGCACTCTTCACACTCCACACTTCATCTCATCTAAGCCCTTCTCACCTTATCCCCGCTCATCTCTTCTCATCTCATCTCTTCTCATATGTCATCTAAGCTTTCATGAATCACTTCCCAGTACTACTAATCACTGTCGCAGCCTTGATGCACCCACTCCAATACGATTTACGATCTTCAGCTGCAAAAGATTACGCATGCAGCCGCTGCGCCAAGCAACCCTGACGCAGCCATCCCAATGCGATCTGCAAAGACTGAGTTGCAAAACACAAAAGAACTACGCGCAACGGCGTCGGAAATTGCAGCTCCAAAACCGGATCTCGACGCCAAAGGGACAAAAAGACGATTTTGAAGCGCTTTTTAAAAGGAATTTTTAAAGGAAAATTACTACTACTACTACTAGTACTACTACTACTTACTACTACTGCTACTACTCTTTTTTGGTGCTATTCATTTAAACGTATTCACGGGCATAGGCATACGTATACACAGGCATACGTATACACAGGCATACGCATACACAGGCATACGTATACACAGGCATACGTATACACAGTCATACGCATACACAGGCATACACATACACACGCATACGTATACACAGGCATACGTATACACAGGCATACGCATACACAGCGATACAAATTTTACTACTACTACTATTACTACTACTACTACTTTTTTTTGCTGCTATTCATTTAAAAGTATTCACGGGCATACGTATACACAGGCATACGTATACACAGGCAACGCATACACAGGCATATACACAGTCATACACAGGCATACGTATACACAGGCATACGCATACACAGGCATACGTATAGACAGGCTACGCATACACAGCGATCAAACTTTTACTACTACTATTACTACTGCTGCTACTACTTTTTTTTTGCTGTTATTCATTTAAAAGTATTCACGAGCATACGCATACACAGGCATACGTATACACAGGCATACGTATACACAGGCATACGCATACACAGGCATACGTATACACAGTCATACGCATACACAGGCATACGCATACACAGGCATACGTATACACAGGCATACGTATACACAGGCATACGCATACACAGCGATACAAATTTTACTACTACTACTACTACTACTATTACTACTACTGCTACTACTTTTTTTTTGCTGCTATTCATTTAAAAGTATGCACGGGCATACGTATACACAGGCATACGTATACACAGGCATACGTAAACATACACAGGCATACGTATACACAGGCATACGCATACACAGGCATACGCATACACAGGCATACGCATACACAGGCATACGTATACACAGGCATACGTATACACAGGCATACGTATACACAGGCATACGTATACACAGTCATACGCATACACAGGCATACGTATACACAGGCATACTAATACACAGGCCATACGCATACACAGCGATACAAATTTTACTATCTACTACTATTACTACTACTGCTACTACTCCTTTTTTGCTGTCTATTTTATTTAAATATGCACGGGGCATACGTAATACACAGGCTACGTAATACACTAGGCATACTAACTCCCCACGCAGACGCTACACAGTCATGCGTAACACAGTCACTCACAAGCGGCATACGTATACACAGGCATACGTATACACAGGCATACGTATACACAGGCATACGCATACACAGCGATACAAATTTTACTACTACTACTACTACTACTATTACTACTACTGCTACTACTTTTTTTTGCTGCTATTCATTTAAAAGTATTCACGGGCATACGTATACACAGGCATACGTATACACAGGCATACGCATACACAGGCATACGTATACACAGGCATACGTATACACAGTCATACGCATACACAGGCATACGCATACACAGCGATTACAATTTTAATACTACTACTACTACTAATTACTACTACTACTGCTTTTTTTTTTGGTGCTATTCATTTACAATTATCACGGGCATACGTATACACAGCATACGTATAGACAGGCATACGTATTCACAGGGATACGCATACACAGGCATACGCATACCCAGGCATACGCATGCCGGGCAATACGTATATCAGGCTACGTATACACAGGATACCGCATACACACAGGCATACGTATACACAGTCATACGCATACACAGGCATACGCATACACAGGCATACGTATACACAGGCATACGTATACACAGGCATACGTATACACAGGCATACGCATACACAGATTTATACACAGGCATACGCATACACAGGCATACGTATACACAGGCATACGTATACACAGGCATACGTATACACAGGCATACGCATACACAGCGATACAATTTTTACTACTACTACTACTACTACTATTACTACTACTGCTACTACTTTTTTTTGCTGCTATTCATTTAAAAGTATTCACGGGCATACGTATACACAGGCATACGTATACACAGGCATACGTATACACAGGCATACGTATACACAGGCATACGCATACACAGGCATACGCATACACAGGCATACGCATACACAGGCATACGCATACACAGGCATACGTATACACAGGCATACGTATACACAGGCATACGTATACACAGGCATACGTATACACAGGCATACGTATACACAGTCATACGCATACACAGGCATACGTATACACAGGCATACGTATACACAGGCATACGCATACACAGCGATACAAATTTTACTACTACTACTATTACTACTACTGCTACTCCTTTTTTTTGCTGCTATTCATTTAAAAATATGCACGGGCATACGTATACACAGGCATACGTATACACAGGCATACGTAAACACACGCAGACGCATACACAGGCATGCGTATACACAGTCAATCACAAGCAGGCATACGTATACACAGGCATACGCATACACAGGCATACGTATAGACAGGCATACGCATACACAGCGATACAACTTTTACTACTACTACTATGACTACTACTGCTACTACTTTTTTTTTGCTGCTATTCATTTAAAAGTATTCACGGGCATACGTATACACAGGCATACGTATACACAGGCATACGTATACACAGGCATACGTATACACAGGCATACGTATACACAGGCATACGTATACACAGGCATACGTATACACAGGCATACGCATACACAGGCATACGCATACACAGGCATACGTATACACAGGCATACGTATGCACAGGCATACGTATACACAGGCATACGCATACACAGCGATACAAATTTTACTACTATTACTATTACTACTACTACTACTATTACTACTACTACTACTACTAATTAATACTACTACTACTACTAATTACTACTACTACTGCTTTTTTTTTGGTGCTATTCATTTACAATTATCACGGGCATACGTATACACAGCATACGTATAGACAGGCATACGTATACACAGGGATACGCATACACAGCGATACAAATTTTAATACTACTAGTACTACTACTACTACTGCTACTACTTTTTTTTGGTGCTATTCATTTAAAAGTATTCATGGGCATACGTATACACAGGCATACGTATACACAGGCATACATATACATAGGCATACGTATACACAGGCATACGCATACACAGGCATACGCATGCACGGGCATACGTATACACAGGCATACGTATACACAGGCATACGCATACACAGGCATACGTATACACGGGCATACGTATACACAGTCATACGCATACACAGGCATACGCATACACAGGCATACGCATACACAGGCATACGTATACACAGGCATACGTATACACAGGCATATGCATACACAGGCATACGTATACACAGGCATACGTATGCACAGGCATACGTAGACACAGGCATACGCATACACAGCGATACAAATTTTACTACTATTACTATTACTATTACTACTACTACTACTACTACTAATTAATACTACTACTACTACTAATTACTACTACTACTGCGTTTTTTTTTTGGTGCTATCCATTTACAATTATCACGGGCATACGTATACACAGCATACATATAGACAGGCATACGTATACACAGGGATACGCATACACAGCGATACAAATTTTAATACTACTAGTACTATTACTACTACTGCTACTACTTTTTTTTGGTGCTATTCATTTAAAGGTATTCATGGGCATACGTATACACAGGCATACGTATACACAGGCATACATATACATAGGCATACGTATACACAGGCATACGCATACACAGGCATACGCATGCACGGGCATACGTATACACAGGCATACGTATACACAGGCATACGCATACACAGGCATACGTATACACAGGCATACGTATACACAGTCATACGCATACACAGGCATACGCATACACAGGCATACGTATACACAGGCATACGTATACACAGTCATACGTATACACAGGCATACGCATTTTTAAAAGGATTTTTAAAAGACGATTTTGTTGGTTAATGTTGGTTATATCTTCATTAAAATTACTTTCAGCCATTAACCATAAATCACCGCCAACCCCCCAGCTGCCAGGTGACGCGACGTGAGGACGAAATGGGCTCAGGTCTGGGCGACTTTTTCGACCAAGCAACTGCCTGGCTGATTTAAAAAAAAGGTCGCCGCTTGAACCGGTTGTATGTCGGTGTGCAAGGGCCGGGATGAAAGTGAAATTGTAAATGAAATCAAGGACCCCCCCCTTCCATAATTGAAATTGGCTCTGGCCCCCCTCCATGCCACTTAAACCCGTGCCCATGTCTCGCCATTGGATGAGTCGCATCACGGTATCAAACGACCTGGTAGTTCATTGAATCAACACCGAGAGACTGTATAGAAGGATGGAATATATTATATTATAATATAAAGGTACAACGGTTTATATATATATACAATCATGGAGTAAAGATGGGATAGAACTAGTATGTATATATATATATATGTATGTGTAAAATATTAATATTATATATTCAGGATTCATGAACCTATCCCACAATGGAACATCTTAGGAATCCCACGCGTGAAAAGAGCTGAGGAGTCGTCGGCTGCATGCCATGATGACAGGACCTTGGAGATGATGCCTGAAATGGTGGAAGGGGGAAGATCCCTCAACAATGTGGGCAACCCAATGCCATACACCTACCTTTTACGGAATGTTTTATACATACCAACCAGAAAGATGGTGATGACATGGGGATGGTTTATTATTGGGTTGTCCACATTAATATGTTGTTTTTTTTTTGGATGTTTTGATGGGGATGCATTCATGATCTGGGTCCTCGCAACTTGGCAGAATTGGTTACCAATGGGTGCAGTCCTGACGACGGCTTGGATGGTCAAGTTGGTTGCATGTGCGCCATGTAACCGTTGGTCCCTTTTGGCCCTAAAAAGCACCGGGCGCCCTGCATCTTCCCGGCTACATCAGGCGTTCGACTCCATGATGATGGGTGCAGGATGTTTACAGGGCTGTTCCCCTTTTTTGGGACCATAATTCCATGACCTCTCAGTCTTGAATGGAGGGAGACCTATGGATTTAAGCTATTTTGGGAAGTCTATATTGGTGCATCCGACCTAGTTAGGGGTTTATGACGATATGTATACTGTAATATAACATACACACATACATATATATATACATATACATATACTCACTATTTATTTACACATATTTATACGTATTTATACACTGTTATTTATATACATGCATGTATGTATATATATATACATATATATATATATATATATTTATAAACACATATATATATATATGCATATACATATATACACACATATATATATATATTTACATACACAAGTATATATATATATGTATGTACACTTTTTTCATACATATACAGTATACATACATATACTGTGTACATACATATACAGTGTACATACATATACAGTGTACATACATATACATACATATAAATACAATTAAATACATATACATGCATATACATACATATACATACATATACATACATATACATACATATACATACATATACATACACATACACATACAGATACGTATACATATACACATACATACCTACATACCTACATACCTACATACCTACCTACCTACCTACCCACCTACCTACCTACCTACACAGACAGACAGACAGACAGGCAGGCAGGCAGGCAGGCAGACAGGCAGACAGGCAGACAGGCAGACAGACAGACAGACCTACACACACATATATAATCATATATATATATATATATACATACACAGACATACAGTCATACACACATACAGACAGACATACACACACGTACATATGTACTTTTCTATACATATTTACATATCCACACTTAATGTGGACCAGGTCTTCACAGCGGCCAGATTCTGGGCGTCGAGCCATCGCCACTCAGGCGATGGTATGCTGGGATATCAGAACATTCAATGATATTATGGATATTATTATCCAATAACATTTCAATTTTGGGATATTATCAGAACATTTCATTTTTGGATATTATTTTGGGATCTATCATTGATATTCCAGTTATTTTATTATGGATATCAATGATAGATCCTCATCATGCAGCAATTTTCGTCTAGAATGATACGTCCATACTACATATCAGTATTATATAATGAGATAGCTAACCAACTTGAACTGGTTAGAATTGTTATAATGGGGACGTGACGAGGGTATTATTTGTAATGGATATATTAGGCGCGATGTTTATTTAATGATGTTAAAGTAGTCAAGAAAATGACATTATAGTTTACTGAGTAATTTAACGAAGACACCATGTGATATAACCGAGCATATCATGATTTGGTTGTGTCTGAATATGGGGGATAGTGAGGATATCATGGGGATATCATGGATTTTGCATGGGGTGTAGTGGGATATGTACGACTAGCCAACTTGATATGCTTTGTTTCTGTGTCTGAACATGGGCCTTTTTGTGTAGCATTTTGATAGGGAAACTCATGATTACCAGGCGATTTTTCTGGAGAATCTGATTGATTCATACATGATTTTAGCATTTCCATGAGCCATGAATTCATGTAATTCATGGGAATTTCCCATTTAAAAATTTACCATAGAAATTCTCATGATTTTAACATGAACCCTACCCATTTTTTCGAGATTTCCATAGATTTCCCATAGCCATGTTTGATTGCCGGAGGGTACCTATTGGCTCCTCAGGGAAGGTCGCCTCAGAGAGTTCCCGAGATTGTTTTGATGATGTTTGAAAATGTCAGCTGAAGCTACGTATAGATGTTACCCTCTGGTAATTTAACATAGCTATTGAACATTGCCATTTATAGTTGATTTACCCATTAAAAATGGTGATTTTCCACAGTTATGTTAGTTTACCAGAGGGTACATGTTACTTGTTTTTGAGGGGCCCCAATTTTAGTTTTGAACCCTTTTGAACCCACATCGGGCTCCCTGATCTCACCCAGGGTCCGGATGATGCCGCTGTTCCTTTTCGCCCTGGCCGTGCTGGGGTCCAAATGGGCGCAGGTAAGTTATCCCCACAGCCTCTCATCGGATAGTGAAGGTTGATAGACCCTATCCCAATAAGATATTCATTAGAAAATCCACAACATCAGTGTGATTACCATCAATATATATATATATAACCATTGATATAGCATCAATATATCCCATTATATGTACGTATATATATATATGATCCCGTCTTCCGATCGCGAGGTCCCCACCCCCCAATGGTATGGGTCCCCAGGTAGCACCCAGTTCCCTTCTATTTGCAAGCTATTGGCAGCATTTCTGAGGTCCAGCCTCGTATTTGCTAGGTTTTTGCAGCGATTCTGACTACCAGCCTCGCATTTACTAGGTACATGCTACCTTTTAGACGACCTACGTAGCACACATACTCCCTCAAAGTACCTACGTGCTACAGTACCTAAAGTTATATATACACGTGCTATGTATCTACTTCATTTATACATATATATATATACATATATTTACTTTTTTCTTTTATTTATTTAAATTATAGACACATATATATATTTACATACACACACACATATATTTAAATTATAGACACATAATATATATATGTATACATACACACACACACTTATTTATATATATATACACACACATATTCTTATTCCCCACATTGACGTGTGGGGTTTTTGTTTTTAGTTCTGTATCCGCCGCCTCCGTCCGCCCGCCGCCCGCCCGTCCTCCTCCTCACTCACACACACACACACACTCACACTCACTCACTCACAAACACTCACTCACTCACACTCACTCACACACTCACTCACTCACTCACTCACTCACTCACACACACTCACCCACTCACCCACTCACTCACTCACTCACTCACTCACTCACTCACTCACTCACTCGCTCGCTCACTCACCCACTCACTCACTCACTCACTCACTCACTCACTCACTCACTCACTCCGCCTCTTTTGTGTGGCAGGCGTGGGACAATGTGCACTGCCAAGGGGTCTGATGTACGCCCTGGCGTCCCGTGGGGCTCCGCCTCTTTTGCGTGGCAGGCGTGGGACAATGTGCACTGCGAAGGGGTCTGATGTACGCCCTGGCGTCCCTTGGGGCTCCGCCTCTTTTGCGTGGCAGGCGTGGGACAATGTGCACTGCCAAGGGGTCTGATGTACGCCCTGGCGTCCCTTGGGGCTCCGCCGCTTTTGCGTGGCAGGCGTGGGACAATGTGCACTGCCAAGGGGTCTGATGTACGCCCTGGCGTCCCTTGGGGCTCCGCCTCTTTTGCTTTTGCGTGGCAGGCGTGGGACAATGTGCACTGCCAAGGGGTCTGATGTACGCCCTGGCGTCCCTTGGGGCTCCGCCTCTTTTGCGTGGCAGGCGTGGGACAATGTGCACTGCCAAGGGGTCTGATGTACGCCCTGGCGTCCCTTGGGGCTCCGCCGCTTTTGCGTGGCAGGCGTGGGACAAGGTGCACTGCCAAGGGGTCTGATGTACGCCCTGGCGTCCCTTGGGGCTCCGCTTCTTTTGCGTGGCAGGCGTGGGACAATGTGCACTGCCAAGGGGTCTGATGTACGCCCTGGCATCCCTTGGGGCTCCGCTTCTTTTGCGTGGCAGGCGTGGGACAATGTGCACTGCCAAGGGGTCTGATGTACGCCCTGGCGTCCCTTGGGGCTCCGCCGCTTTTGCGTGGCAGGCGTGGGACTACGTGCACTGCCAAGGAGTCTGATGTACGTCCTGGCGTCCCTTGGGGCTCCGCCGCTTTTGCGTGGCAGGCGTGGGACAAGGTGCACTGCCAAGGGGTCAGATGTACGCCCTGGCGTCCCTTGGGGCTCCGTCGCGTTTGCGTGGCAGGCGTGGGACAATGTGCAGTGCCAAGGGGTCTGATGTATGTCCTGGCGTCCCTTGGGGCTCCGCCCCTTTTGCGTGGCAGGCGTGGGACAATGTGCATTGCCAAGGGGTCTGATGTACGCCCTGACGTCCCTTGGGGCTCCGCCTCTTTTGCGTGGCAGGCATGGGCCTCCGCCGCTTTTGCGTGGCAGGCGTGGGACAATGTGCACTGCCAAGGGGTCAGATATACGACCTGGCAGGCGTGGAACATGTACTTACTCACTCACTCACTCACTCACTCACTCATTCACTCACGCACGCACTCACTCACTCACTCACACTCACTCACTCACTCACTCACTCACTCACACTGACTCACTCACTCACACTCACTCACTCACACTCACACACTCACACTCACACTCACTCACTCACACACACTCACTCACTCACTCACTGTACTTGAACATACATACACACACAAACTCACCTACCTACCTACATACATACCTACATATATACCACCATCGTCCCTCCATCACTCTCATACTTCCTCTTCCCTTCTCGCTTTCTCTGCTCAGTCTAAGTCTAAAGAAGTTGGTAACATGTGGGGTTATCCGGTCCTTTAATTTTTAGATACATATATGTATGCACACATAAAAATATATTCATATACTGTATACATGTAAACATACACATATATATACATACATATGTATATATATATATACATACATATATATATATACATACATATATATATACATACATACATAT